AGATGGCTCTTCTCTCCTTCTTCTGTCTTAATGGAAGTTAACTAACGAAGCAAAACTTGGTGACAAAGAGAGCAGCTGCCGTTCTTGGAGGGTGTCTCCTTCCATTATCCGTCCCTCACATTCTTGGGGGGTGTTAATGAATCAGACGCGCAGTGACTCCACTAATATCAATAAGACATTTTTCCAGGGACATCTGCGCCTTTCTATGGCAACTGGGCGCCGTGTCCAAATACAAACCTACTTCCCTCATGAAGTAGATCTGATACCAAGTTGGAACATCTTGGAGAACATTTATAAAGTCTCTTCTCCAGCGGGAAATGATGGATCGCGTCCTGCTAAGGTGCCCTAAATGAATGTTCAGTGGAACAGAACAGGAAATTGCTGATATGTCGTATTTCCCGAAAACCAAATAGCTCAATAAATTATGCCCATAGCCAATCGGAACCCGGGAACTGGATGATGGGAATCTCCCAGTATTCCACAATCTAGTTTAATCTCCGATCCTATCTGAGTGGGAGAGTCCCAAGTGCAGACATCTTTCCCCATAGTTATTTTTACATGGGACAACCAAGGATGAGTAGAGTGAAGGACCCCTTTACTGGTTCACCAGGGACGAAATCACAACCTTCTTCTACTCTGTGAGTGCTACACCTGGCTCAGTGTCAGGATACAAGATACGGCTTCCTGCCATATATGTTAATAAAGAACTCCGGGCAGATCCAAAATGATTAACTTGTCCCCCCCACCCTTACTTATTTTGTAAAGGTGATGAGATACTTACCCTAAGGGTGGAAGGGCCGGCAGGATGCTGTACATAGCTTCCTGAACACATCACAGCACTCTGCCTCAGTGCTATCTCAACAGCCCTGATGCAAGCAGTGGGCTGGCTCTTGGGAGGAGATATGCAAATAACAAAAAGCCTTGATGGGTGGATGTCAGTCTGGAAGAAGTTCCTAGGCAGGCTGTATTTGTATTCCTGATGCAAGCAGTGGGCTGCCTCTTGGGAGGAGTCATGCACATTTCAAAATATCATGATCTGGAGAAGTGGGTGTTGCTAGGCATACTGTATTTGCATGCACACCACCCTAGGTAATGTAGCGCCCACATGTGATGCTGAAATCCAATGAATTAAAGGGGCAGGGCTAGGACCAGTCAGACTGGGGAGGAAAGGCTAATTGATGCAAGACGTCCTCCAGCCAGGAAATGAGGGGGGCTCTATCTGATTTGCTACAGCTTCTGATGCACATTATGAGAAGCTCTCAGTGTGCAGCGAAATCAGAGGAAGCCATTGCAGTCCAGGAGAGGAGCTGGTATGAGATTGAAGGTCAGATTTAATGCTAGGGATAGACTGTAATTAGGGTTGCCACAGTCCGGTTTCTGAGTCCTGTGTCTGGGTGTCAGGCCAGCTGACACCCGGACACAAGACAATAAGTGTCAGCACAGGCACTTTAAATTTTTGGAGAGATACGGCTGCCTGAGGTCCCATTGCTGGGGACTTTAGCAGCTTTCCTGTGAGCCGCAGGCACCTGTAAACAGATGCCGGCCCGCACATTTCCTCCTCCTTCTTCCTGACACCATGCTGTCTGCCTTTGGACCCCTAGTGAGACACTGCACAGCCCGCACAGCACTCCTGAAAGCCCGCATAGCCCACCTGAGAGTGCGCATAGCTCAACTGAGAGTCCGGATAGCCTACCTGAGAGCCCACATAGCCCACTTGAGAGCCCACATAGCCCACTTGAGAGCCCGCATAGCCCACCTGAGAGTCTGCATAGCCCACCTGAGTGTCTGCACAGCCTGTCTGAGAGTCTGCACAGCCCGCCTCAGAGTCTGCACACCCCCCCTGAATGTCCGTACAGCCTGCTTGAGAGCCCACACAGCGCGTCTGAGAGCCCGCATAGCCCACCTGAGTGCCCGAACAGCCCACCTGGGAGCCCGCACTGCCCGTCTGAGAGCCCGTAGAGTTTACCTGAAAGCCCTCGGAGTCCACCTGAGAGCCTGCACAGGCCACCTGAGACCCTGGAGACATCAGGGTGCCACGCTGAAAAAACACAGAGTATATAGCTTTATATTATTTTGTATTGCTGTATAATGTATTGCTGGGATTCGTAGTCCTCTATAGTCAGTCTCATAACCCGGGCTGTCTCTTCTTGGTCTTCCTCCTGGCTGCCTCTCATCGCTCTCTCCTCTATATCCCCCCCCCCCCCCCAAAAAAAATTGACGCTCGCTGTGCTAGAGTGTTCGGGTTTCCCTTGAAGAAACGGTGGCAACCCTAAATGTATTAGATGTTATTTTTCAGTTTTATACATTTGGCCGCTCCTCTATTCCCGGAGCCCCAGCGCAATCTATTGAAAGCTTTCTGTTTGCTGTTGTTTCATTGTATCTCTCTGTATCACACACAGTCCGGGCCAGGCGACCCCCAGCAGACTCCGCATCTCATTAGAGCTTCTTTATTTTACAGGTCAAATGGACCCTTTTTTCTGCATTTTAGAAGTTTCTCCTCAATACATTTTGCAATAAAAATGGCAAATACATAAAAAGCCACAAAAACTGAATCTAACCTGCAAATAAAAATGTATGAACATATTCCCTGCCTGTAGTCCGGGTTTCCTAAAATATTTCTCCTTAATTGTGAATACATTTTATTATCAATGAACGCGCCGTGATAAGATGAATGGAGATAATTTGGCCCCTATCCAGGGGCTGAGATAACGCACCCTTGTTCCTATATAGAGAATAAGCAGGTGTGTCCCCGTCTGCGCGTCCCTCCGCCCTCTGTCATCAGACTCCTGCCAGGCTCTAATCCGCAGACCTATTGACCGTTTAATCCGGCAGACAAAACAGTCCCCATCTTGACGGCTCTCCAGTCCCAGCAGGATCTGATTGAGATGTCCTGGCACAGGCCGACAAGCGCATGTGGGGTCTACAACAGGATGTAGGTCCCCCACCACCACCGCCCAACGCCACAATGTTTATTACTTTCACCTATTTGTAAATCCAATTATCTAAAAAATATGTAATGGATTTTTTTGGTGCTAAAATGTGTCCGTGTATTTCGGGGGGGAAAAATGAATATGTGTATATACTGTATATACATTTATGCTAAAGTCTACTTTATATATAAAAGTCTTTTACCTCTAAAAAATTATTATTTTATAACTCTTGAACTACATCTTTGCTTGTGTTATAAAGTGGACCGGTATGATTGTCCTTGCTGTGAATGATCTTATGTAGATGTTGCATGACGGCATGTAGACTGTGTTAGAAAACACTAATTAGGGATGAGCGAAATTGGGAGTTTTCATTTTGCTGAAATTTTGGTAAAAGTAAGGATGTTTCATTAAAAATTTGCCATTGGAGTCAGTGGGAGAGGCAAATTAAGAAGAGGAAAGCAGTGTGTGGCTCCAGGTTAGTCCATGCTCAGGGCCGGATTTCCCACAAGGTCGACCAAGGCCCGGCACCGGGACAGCAGGGAGTAGAGGGGCAGCAAGGGTGTGAAATTCCTGTCTCCCGATGCCTGGGACATGCATTTCCAGGCGTCAGGCGGGTAGTTGTTTTCTACATTTAGCCCTGCTTTGGGCAAGCAGAGCTAAATGTACAGCGGGGAAGCCGCCGCTTGTTTCGTACAAGTGATCCAGGTGATGTCGCCAAGATCACTTGTATGCAACCTGCAGGTCTACCATTCTCCATGGGGGGGTTGGCAGGGAGGGGGGCGCATTGAGGAACCTGGCCTTGGGGCAGCAGAGAGAGTAAATCCGGCCCTGTCCATGCTATGAAGAGCTCTCAATCCATCTCTTGTGTTATACTTTTATGAAAGAAGAGTTTGGATATAACTGGTGTGCGATCATCCAATTTTCTGGTATAGAGCCAAATTAAGGTTTATGTTTTGACATAAAACATGACTTTTTTGAGGGTTACAGAAGCTCATTTCATCTATCCTGGACCTGTTCTTGTGCCAAAAAGTGGCCCCTTGTCAGCCGGGAACATGACATTGATGAAGGGACAGAAGAACCTTAAAACACATTCTAAAGCTAACCCCTGATTCTAATGATAGCTCCAGTCCTTTGTCTATAATGGCCATTGTTGACCGGCTTTTGTATCAGAGCTTCTCTGCTTCTCTGCCCATACAAGTCCTTTGAATTTCAAAAATGCCCTGAAGTTGGTTGGGGCAGCTCAGAAGAAGGTCAACTGCAGGCCAAAGGCACCTCTCAATTAATTCTAAACCATATCTAAGGCATCTCAAAGTGATGTCAGAAGCAAGTGGCAATTGCCCATCGACACAAGTCCAAAGACCATTAACACAGACCCTAAAGTCATGTGATTTCTATTGCGGCACTTGTGTGGCAGTCACATGATTTGGTTTGTAAACAAAATGTTAGTGGCAGAGTTAGTGCTGGTTAGCAACAAGCCTACTGGTAGGGTTGGCATTGGGGTCATGGTTAGGGTTGGCTTTGTTTATCATCAAAGGCTAGTATTAGGGTTGGCATTGGGGTCACGGTTAGGGTTGGCTTTGTTTATCATCAAAGGCTAGTGGTAGGGTTGGCATTGGGGTCCTGGTTAGGGTTGGCTTTGTTTATCATCAAAGGCTAGTGGTAGGGTTGGCATTAGGGTCATGGTTAGGTTTGGCTTTCTATATCATCAAAGGATAGTGGTAGGGTTGGCATTTGGGTCATGGTAGGGGTTGGCTTTGTTTATCATCAAAGTAATTGATCACCATGTCATAGTGGACATAGGACATACATGGCTTTGCTCTTGTCAAGCAAATCTCGCCCAAGAAGTCCACATGGTACAATTTGATGTGATGGTCATAGCTGTGGACTCTAATACTTATTATCAATTTCAGCAAATTCACTCCGCTGCTCCCTAATTAAGCCAGATAAAGAGATGTCCGTTGCTGGCGGGGTTGATGTATCTGTTTGCTTAGACAGTAACTTACTTTCCTCTTCATTTTCAGGACTGGGTCGTCCTCCCTGATGTCTGACCCCTCCTTGTGGCTCTCTTGCCCCGTGCCATGGGTAATTCCGTCAGCAGGCCCAGCTGCCTGGGGGAGAGGGGGAAGAAATCCGAGCGCTTTCTCAAGGAGTGTTGTATGAAGAAGGAGTCTGTGATCGACTTCCAGAGCGTGAGGAACAATGTGGAGCCCAGCGCCGCTCCTCCCGACAAGAAACCAAACGAGATGGTGTTCGAGAAAGAACTGAACGTCACTCCGACCACCAGCAGAAGCCGAGAGCCTCTGCCCAAGCAGAACAATGCAGATGCCAACGTGCCCAAGGCAGCTATCAAGGGTGGAACCCCTAGGTCCACACCAGATCACATGAGCAATGTGTGGACTCCTCAGAGAGGAACCCTGCAGAGGTCCTCTGGGGGAAGCTGGTCCTGGCAACCACTTGCCAGCAGGGAAGTGACAGAAGTCACTGAAGTCACAGAGACCATTGTCACCGAGATAGTGGAGGTGACCCAGTTCCCTTCAGGAGAGAAGGGCGGGGAGCCCATCGTCACTAGGACAGTGAAAGTGCTGACCGACTATGGCGGGGAGCTTGCTGAGGTTAATATCTGTTTCCTAGCCATGGGCCATACTCTCCAGTCTACTAGTGGCCTTCCAATAACAACTCAATCCCGGCAATGGCAACTCAACTCTCTGAAGTTGTCAGCAAACAAGAATGTTGCCTTTTCCTTCTTCAGAAATTGCTGCGGAGTTGACACAACGTGTCTATCGCATACATGAGTTTTAGAATCTTGATTGCTAGGAAGGGATTGCTGTCTATTAGGTAAAGCAGCAGATGAAATTGATTCTGCCAATGGTGATGTATCACCAACATCAGATCCTGAGTGTGACAAGCTCTAAGACTAATCCTACCAATGTAAATACATCTAAACCCAAGAAAAAATAATAATAATATATTGCAGCTTTCCAATCCTTATACTGTATACGGTGGATGCTTTATTTTTTTTAGGCTTTTTTGCTTTATTTTTACCTGGCGATCCTGTGAATAACACACTTCCCATCCCTAGGCGGCTACGCTCACTCACTGCACTGTATCTATGGAGGCTGGCGTCACAAGGGGGGTGCGGAGGTTGCGGCCCGCACACGGGTGACACCATTGGAGGGGTGGCACCAGAATGACTCTCAGTCATTTTGGTGACTCCCCCTTTAAAAAGTCGAGCACTCGGTCAAGGACCGAGAGCCCGACAGTGTCAGGAGAGAGGAGGGGACCCGGCGGCATAGCTCATCCTGCCGGGTGAACGTCCCCTCATTTCTCTGCCGGCATCCATCACCAAGATGGTCGCTGGCGCAGTCGTCAATTAGATGGCCGCGACCAGCATGCGCGACGTCGTGGTATCACCAGGTCTCCACTCCGGGTGACACCCGGCCCCGGGACGCTCCTGTCTATGGAGGAGGCCATGGTTGTCACCCAGGCTGGACTTTAAACACGTCTTCCTGTTTTCATCTCCATTACATGGCGGGTGAAGGGATAAATAGATTACCAACGGAAGATAACATTGTTTCTGCCTTCAGTTCAGCTCACAGGAAGTGGCAAGAACACAGCATTTCTGGTGGGATCAGTAGGTGTGTTTTCTGTAGTTGCTAAAAATGTTCTTTGCCTCATAAATAAAAAATGAATGCGGCCACCACACCTGAGTGTTGGAAAACTGCAATATGTTAAATTTTTGCTTTTGGGTTTAAATGCCCTCCAACCCTAACCTGACCGGATTCCTAACACTTGTTTAACTCCAAAAATAGCACCAGAAATTACAGAACAAAAATATAACCAAGATCTTATGGAGCTAAGGGCTCAAAAAGTGGTGATCCTGGCACTGGGGCCCTAGAGGTAAGTACAGGTCCTCAAGCTCTACTGGCTAAACAGAGTGCCAGGAACGTTCGGCCTTTGTTACCTTCTGCATTGTTCATACATAGGGCTACACTCTGTTGTTTTTCCATACACTGGACACCTCCAGGGCTTGTCCACAGAACTATATCTGAGAACTGTGGACCAATCATTATCTGATCATGTTCCTTGTGCTTTAAAACTGATATTATGTTATAAGAATCAACCACTGATGGGTTTGCACACTACAATAAAGGACGTTGAGATTAATAGAAGGTAGTTGGGTGCTCTTCATTCTTCTGTCCATCCTTTGTGTATGAACCTAGTGGGGTGGTAGGCAGCTGAGGACGATCCAACCTGCACTGAAAAGGGCTCACACAGAACAAAGTAGCAAACACAACACTGGAGAGTCAAGAGGTTGAATGGTCACCTAGACCTGACATCTCTGAGTATGGTGAATGATGGAGAGCTCAGTCACCGAGTGGCTTCTTCTGTCTCTCGGGGATTCTGGTGGACAGATCATTCCATGATCTACGCATGAAGGAAGGGGGGTCAGTTACAAGCCAATCTATCTCCATCTAATGCATTTATTGTATATTGTGCTGAATGCAACAAGAGTGGGAAGACCTTGACCTTGAGTGGCCTTGAACACCCCAAAGTCATCCAAAAACAATTAAGTGGTGGGAAGAGACCCAGGAACCATGACAGGAAATCTCATCACTGGAGTGAGCAGGTGGCTCAACCCGCCTGTCCCTTTTAAAGGAATGTTGTCTTTGGGTAGATTGACCCATTAAAAAATAGATGGTTTAAACAAGTGGAGGTTGATTGGGGATAAGGCTCAACAGCTTCCACGTTTTCCATTTCCTATATAGGGCCTCCAGGCTGTAATCCTTTACATGTATACTTCTTATGTATATGTGTCTCTTCCACCCCACAAATGCTAATACATCCTACACAGTATTCTCCTAATACCAAAACCTCTAATATGTCCTCCACAATAACATCCTAATCTCAGAAACTCCAATATAGCCTCCACCCTGAAAAATAATCTCTAAATCCCAGAATATTTAATATATCCTCCACAATAATCTTCTTATTTCAGAACCTCCTGTATAGCCTCCACCCTTACAAATAATCTCAGAATCCTAGAATGTCTCATATGTCTTCCACAATAATCTTCTTATTCCAGAACCTCCAATATATCCTCTACCCTCAAAAATAATCTTATAGTCCTTGAACCTCTAATATATCTTCCACCCTACACCTTCCACAATATTCTCCTGATCCCAGAACCTCTAATATATGCTCCACCCTTCCAAATAATCCCCTAATGCCAGATGTGTCACCATTGTGCCATTCCTCTTCCAGGTACCGAACAGCCCGGCAGCTCAGACGGACGCGTACAACCGGATGGGACAATGGGACGCCTTCGGCATGAGGGTATGTAATAAGCTCACGCGCTGATACGTAGCATCGATGACACGCATCACACAGCGGCCTTCTCCTATTCCCCATATTTCCAACAAGGTGGAGACAATCCATTGAGAATTCTGGTATAGACAGGACCCCCAATTCATTAAAACTCAACCCCTCCTCCTTTTTTTGCCAAAAATTCCACAGAAAAATCACTCCACCCGAACCCCAATGTTTTATTTTCCCAATAGGAAAGCTGGAGAGGGGACTTAGTCCTCATGGTGGCGTCTTGTAATTGGCCTTTCTTTCTGGCCCTCCCGTCCTGCCTTTCGTCCGCCATTTATATATACTGTATAATATTTACTCCACTGGCTTCCATCCCCCGCCCCCCTCTGCCAATCCCTGCACTGGCTTCCACCCCCCTCTGCCAATCCCTGCACTGGCTTCCAATCGCCCAAATGATAAAATTCAAAATATTAATAAGGACCTACAAAGCCATCCACAACTCTACCCCCGGCTATATCTCAAACCTTGTCTGAAAGTATCACCCTAACCGTCCCCTCCGCTCTTCCCAAGACCTCCTGCTTTCCAGCTCTCTCGTCAACTCCTCCCATGCTCGCCTCCAGGAGTTCACTAGAGTCTCTCCCATTCTTTGGAACTCTTTACCCCAACCTGTCCGTCTATCTCCCACTCTGAATGCCTTTAGGCGTTCCCTTAAGACTCATCTCCTCAGTGAAGCCTATCCCACCTCAACCTAACCACTGAACCATCACATTCTCAGACAATTCATCCCCACACAGCTACCTCCTCATGTATCACTGGCCCCTCCGTTTTAGATTGCAAGCCCTCAGGCGCAGGGCCCTCCTCACCATCTTGTCTTGAATTGTATTGTGATTGTAATGTCTTCGTTATATTGTAAAGCGCTGTGCAAACTGTTGACGCTTTATGAATCCTGTATAATAATATTAATAATACTGAGCTTGTAGTTCAGGGCAAGTCCAGGTACAAAGAACATACATCTACTCTGCACATATCACCGCCTTACATCACGGTGACCTCCGCATTTATTTTCCCAGCATGCACTTGCCCTGCCGGAGCTGCCAGAGACCCTGGACACCATACAGGGCTGGGTGCTGGAAATGGAAGAGCTGACCGACGCCCAAAAACCTCCGTCATCCGAGGCCAAAGTGGTGAAGGCCCAGCTCCAGGAGCAGAAGGTGAGAGAGTCCGTCCCGAGTACAATCATGTGTCCTTCCTGTCCGATCCCATCCAGGGGGGACACAGAGGACACAATATATATATATACAGAGTGCAGATAGGAGACAGACCTCTACCCTGACACAAAGAGATCCCTCACACATCGCTGGTGCCCAACCTGCAGCTCCAGGGCCACATGTGGTCTTTTCATATTGATAGTGTGGCCCTTAAACCCCTGAAGTCAGTAGTGGGAGTACTGATTTTTTAGGGATCCTGTAGTATATCTGCAGTCTCTGAGCATCTCCTGTAGTATATCTGCAGTCTCTGACCATCTCCTGTAGTGTGTGTGCTGTCTCTGACCATCTCCTGTAGTGTGTGTGCTGTCTCTGACCATCTCCTGTAGTGTGCCTGCAGTCTCTGACCATCTCCTGTAGTGTGTGTGCAGTCTCTGACCATCTCCTGTAGTGTGTCTGCAGTCTGTTGTACCATTATTATGTGTGGCCTCTTGGTGACATCAGGGGCCACAGCTGAGGCCTCCTATGTCTAGCAAGTTCACCATCACTGTTGTATACAATGCTCGCACTCAGACAGAAGCTGCCAATCTTAGACTGTGTATTCGTATTTACCCAGCAAAGCTTTTCCATTACCAACATCACTGCTCTGGGTACTGGAGCCTGAGAGTGGCAGCTTCCATCTGACACGTCACACCCAGGTATCACCTGTTGGCACAGCGCCCCCTGATGGTGAGCATTGGGTAGGGTAGTTGAGGACAGTGTAATGACACTTTGTAACCCTCATCAATAATTGCCGTTGCCTTGTCTTCCCTCCTGCTGTCCCGGTAACCCCGTTTCCCCTTTTCTTTGCAGCTTCTGCAGCGGCTCTTGCAGGAGAGAAGGCCCCGGATAGAGCGAGTACTGCAGGGCAGGAGGTCACCTTCTCAGCCTCTTCCCATAGAGGCCGCAGAGCCGGCCGAGCGGAGAGCGCCCCTACTGGGTCTTCAGCATCGGTGGGACAACCTGCTCCAGAAGGCCGAGGAGAGGTGAGTGAGGAGCTCATAGTGGACCATTTGATGTCCCCTATACCGAGGATTGTCAGGGGTTCTGACTCCGCCCCCGAGGAGCGGAGAGGCTGTATGCCGGGTGTCATTCTCGGTATCTGTTCTTATTCTGTATGTATGGACTCGGCACAGTACCACTTCACTTGTCCTGTATGCCGGGTGTCATTCTCAGTATCTGTTCTTATTCTGTATGTATAGACTCTGCACAGTACCACTTCTCTTGTCCTGTATGCCGGGTGTCATTCTCAGTATCTGTTCTTATTCTGTATGTATAGACTCTGCACAGTACCACTTCCCTTGTCCTGTATGCCGGGTGTCATTCTCAGTATCCACCCCATGAACTCTTCTCCCAGGTTGATATTTCTGATTCTGGTCCATGTAGTGGTCATGGTTGTCCTCTGTCTTCACAGACACCGCCAGTTAGAGAGGATCACCCCCGCTGCCCAGAACTTCCAGGAATCTCTAGACGCCTTCTATGATTGGCTGAGCTCCACCGAGAGACGACTGGCAGAGCTATGGCGAACCAACAGGTCCATGAACCAAATAAAAGACGC